TTGCTGGAAATACTAAGGTGTTTGGTTATTTTAAAGATAACTTTCTCATACTAAGATGAAAATGCAATAAATAAAAATGACACTATAAGTGCTTCTTGCTATGTAGAAAGATGAATTACTACAACCAAAATTAGCCATTGTTCTTAAAATAATGGTACTAATTGTTCTACTTTACAAGATTTGTTCATTTCAATACAGTTTTTTATGGAAAATAGAGTTTTTAGTCTCTATAATAAACTTTATTTTGGATGCATTTGTTTACAGTTTGTGATAAAAGGCTTTTTTTTAATTTTGTATGTAAAAGGAGAGTTAAATTTCTTTAATAATAAAAAAATAAAGATTACTTAAGAATAATGAGCAAACATTTAAAAAGCTCATAAGTATTTTTTGTTTTTTCTTCTTTTTGAAAGACTGAATGTAATTAAATAATCATTAAATCCTTACAAATTATAATAAAAACATGGTATTTGGATTTCCTGTATTTAAATATTCAAGTTCTTTTTATTAATCATAATAGAAAGTAATTCCTGATGCAGGTAACATCAGAAATTACTTTCGTTGTTAGTAACATAAGTTTGAAATAATCAAAAAAGTTTTTAATAAGTAACATAAAAAATTACAGTATACAGTAATAAACTTATAATACTATGTCACGTCAATTTGGGTTATTTACTAAGGCTGTAAAATATTTATATATTCTGTGTAATGAAGTTACACTTTCTTGGAATAAGTTAGAATTTCTTGTAATTAAAATTATTGCGTCTATATAAAATTAAAAATACAAGAAGTATGTATGATTGTTTTTATTAGAGAAAAATGCTGTTGTATCAATAATTATTGTTTTAATTAAAATTGATGAATGGAATTTATTATATGCAAGTTTTTAATAAATAAAAAAAATCAAGAAAATACAATGTTTAATTAGAAGCTCGAAAAACACAACATATTTTAACATTTAAAAATTGTAAATAACGCCAAATGTAATTAATAAAATTATGTTCCTTTATTATAAGATAAACACTTTCAAAATAATTTTTTCATTTTTGGAATTTTTCTAAATTATATATTAAAAAAATACACCTTTTCATATGTTTCAAGCACTTCTTTATAGTTCTGATGAATGCTTTTGGCTTGATTTACAGGCCTTCTTTAGGTTAGAAATTATTGCAATTGTTTTTTCTTCTTTTTGAAATAGAATTATTTATAAATCTTAAGTTACAACATAAGAAATTTAAATAACCTCGAAGAAACTTTGAATTGTTCCATTTTTGAACACAATGTAACTCATTCCAATTAGAATTGCTTCTAACCTAAAGAAGACCTGTAAATCAAGCCGAAAACATTTATTAGAACTATAAAGAAGTACTGAAAAGATATGTAACTTTATATATAATTCTTATTTCTCAATTTCAATTGCTGAATAAGTAGAAAAGTTTTTACTATTAATAAATAATTTATTGATATTTTGAATTGATAAAGAGCATTCCAAAAGAATTTTCTTCAGAATTTTTTTTGTACTTCTCTTCCATAAAAATACTATGAAAGTATGAATAGCTAATAGAATCAAATTAGTTTTATTTATATACAAAAATTTTAAAGAGTTTACTCTTTTTTTATAAGTTATATAATTATGGGCAAAAGTTTTTTTTTTTTTATCTACTTGATTCCTTTTTGCTTAAATATTCTGAAGTTGGAATCAATACTTCAGAAATACTTTTTTAAATTTTAAAAATTCTTATAATATTCTATTTTTCTCAATATAACACTTATTTGCATTGAATTTAACATTTGTAATAACATTAGTATTAATACATGCATAATACTAAATAGATTTATCCATTTAAACAAAGTAATTTGTTACTTTTTTAGTTTTGATAATTAATTAATTAATTAATTTTAATTTCATTTATTTAAAACTAAATTAAGTCATTTCATTATCCCAGACAAAATATGTTGATATTTTTTTTATACTAAGGTTTATATTAAGAAGCATACACAAATACAGGCTTACATTTTTAGTTGATTTGGACATAATTTTTCATCTTAGTTTATTCTGCTTACAAATACCTGTCAATTTTATATTCTCATATTGTTTATAATTAAACTGTGCTAACTCAAGAACACATTTATTCAGTCAGTGTCTTAAATTTATTACAATGAAAAACAAATTAGAAAAACAAATAAACTTAACACAATTAATAAACTAAGATTTAAGGAAAAGTTTGCTGGCTGGAGGCATGATGAGAGCAAGGAAGGATTCTAACCAGTAGGATAAAGCTGTATTAGATCTCCCTAAATATTACATTTTTCAAAAATTTTCTGTACTATATGTGCTATTTTAGACGAAGAAAGTTCACATTAAGTGAAAAAAGCATACTTCATTATTTTATGAACTAGCATATATTTATATTGCTGGTTCATTATATAAGTACCAGTACCAGAACTGTAAAAAAAACATTTATTATATAGTTACCTCAAAATATAAAAATGAGATAAAAATATGTTTGGAATAAATAATAAAAAAAAAAAAAAAAATTTCAAAATACATATATATTTGTTATTGCAAATACAGCAAAATCTTACTAAATATTAACAGGTTCTTGGAAACTGATAAATAATACGACAAGATCTATTTTAATTGGATTGTATTTGTGATCTCCGGCATTTATTTTTAACCTCATAGAATCAATTTTATTGTTTACAAAGAAAATTCAAAAACAGTAATTGTAAATGGTTACAAATATACTTGTATCTTTCCTCAATAACATTACAACAAAATTATGGTAAGTGAGGACTTACTGTACATGTAAACCATTGCATTGCAATAAAATTAAAGGTGCTGAATTGAAGATAAAATTAATAAAAAAATAAACGTGATGATCAACTAAAATCTTCCTTTTTTCTTCTATAGATAATAGTAAGAGAGATGGCAAAAAAGGGGGCAGTCTTTTTATTATACATACTATATTTAATATCAAGTATTAATTATACGAATAAATTTTCTTTTCCATGTCCAATTTAATATTATTGGATGTTTTTTATTCATGTGTTTGTGTAAGTAAATAATTTGTTGAGGATCTGCTGATAACTGTTAATTTTGTTAACTAGGATCAAATAACTGTTTAATTGTTATATTTAAAATTATTCTAAATTTAAATTAATTAATTTTTTTTAATTCAAATGATATAATTGATAAATATTTTGATACTGAAAGAATTTGAATTTTAAATATTACTTTAAGTAATTCTTTTCAGATTTTTCTAAATTAATTAATTGTGCTTCTCATTAGATAACAAAATATTTTTATCCAGCATTAAATTTGTAAAATTGTCACTTTATATTCTATTATATTTAAAATATGAAACTATTAATTCAGTAGCTAATTTCATTTCAGTATTTAATATTAGATAAGCACACGTGCATAGTAATTGAAGAAATTTTATTTAGTTTTTCTTTATTAGCAAAGTTTAAACCAAATTATAAGTTGTTTAAGAAAAACATTTGCTAGTCAGTAGTTAAACTTAATTGATAATCTCTAGGATAATTATTTTTCTATGTGATCTAAATTTTCACTTAATTTATTTTAATTCTCGACTTGTACTATCTATTTAAAGATAGTCTTATAAAGTGCAGTGTTTCATCTTAAGTCTATCACATGATTCTTGTCAAAACATTTTCTACTTTCATATGCTGATTAGGCTACAAAAATATTAATATTATAAAGTTTTGATTTTCTTCTCTCTCTTTTATTTGATAATCTGATAATTTATCAAAACAAATTACTATAAGTTTGTGAATAACCTGCATCTATATATATTTCATAAGAAATTGTTAGAATGCAAATATAGTAGATTATCTGAATGTCGATCAACCGAAACATCAATTAACTAAAAACTTTTCAGTCAGCAAATTTAAATTTCAGCTAGTGCTGTGGTGCTGCAATCTTTGTCTATGTCGTGGGCTACTCCAATATTATTTTTGTTGGTTTGCGTGTTTTAGCTGGCAGCCCTGGCGCGACCATGAGAGGGTACTTAATTAAATTAAAAGGCCATGCCAGGATTTGAACGAATTTCAATATGGGGTAGGTTAATATATTTTTTGTAGATAATCGGTTATCTGAAAAATTGATTTTCCGAACAACCCCAGTTCCCAATTGATTTGAATAATTGATGCTCTACTGTAAAATCTTTGCATAACCCAAAATACCAATTACCCTGCACCTTCAACCCCTGTCAGTGTGCATTTTAGAGATATTTTATCATGCATTTTGTTCTTTCTTTTTTTTTTTTTTTTTTTTTTTTTTCTTNAATTTTTAAATAGTTTTCTAAAGTCATTGTTTATAGATAAGAAAATTACCAGAAATTTTATAAACTTTAAGGCACAAGTTCAAGTAGCAGTATTTATTTAATATCGATTAAAAGATGAATTGATATACAGAAAATGATCAAGAGAGAACTAAAGGTTAAATAAACATGTAAGTGCTTTTGGTGGTTTTAGGAAAATTTGTTATAATGTATGAATAGGTCTGTCATGTGCAAAGGATTTTTCAAATCTTTCAAAAATGCTCTTGGGATGTTTAGACAAAGGAAAAGTTGTTTGAGGAGTCATAATTGCATGTTAAAATGGATAGATAACTGCAAGTTATCTACAAATTATGGTAATTTAATTTAATTTGATATAGTAAAAATAACTACATAATCTGTTTCACATTAACATATTTTAATAGAGAATAGGCCTGTATTATAAATAAAACATTTGTTTTTAAGTGAAATAATTAATTGTTATCTGTATTATAATAATAGTAAGTTATACCTATAATTTTCAAATAAGAGCATTTATATATTATAATTTAGAATTTTTTGTAGCTCATACAATTTTATTAGTTGTATAAACTAATCATTAATAAATATTTTAAACAATACTTCTAAATGTATTAAAATATGTAAATTTTGATTTATCATTTTAATAATTCAAAATATATGTTTTCATTTACAATATAGGAACTGGAAATACGAGCAGTGATGGGACATACAAGCCATCTTTTCTTACTGACCAGGAACTCAAGCATCTTATTTTAGAAGTATATATATTATTTATTCTAAAAATTATGATTAAAGTAAATTATTAAAATTTTGTTTTTCAGAGATGACAATGGTAGTAATTGCTTTATTTTTTCAGGCTGCAGATGGATTTTTATTTGTTGTTGCTTGTGATACTGGCAGAATTATTTATGTTTCTGATTCAGTTACACCAGTACTTAACCAAGCCCAGGTAAAAATTGTACTGCTTTTAATTCAGTATATTGATGATTTATATAAACATTGTTTACATTTTTTTTTCTCTAATCATTTTACAAATTGTAATAAATAAAAATTATCCACATATTTTTAATTTTGTTATCTTTCTAAATATAGTTATTAATATTTAGTAAAATAATAATTTATATTATTTAAAATTATATCTTGATAAATATTTTCAAAATTATGCTATTGATATCATCATGATTTATTAAAACTGTTGTTTTAATTAACAAAACTTGTAAAACTTTTATTAAGTTTTATAGACAGACAAAAAAGCTGAATTATTTGTTAATCATATATATATATAAAGACATTATTAGCAAATATAATTTATCAGGTTATAATAGATACATTGAAGTTGCCATGGTAATTACACAGAAAGAAGTAATATTTACTAAGAAATTGAAGAAGTTAAATAAGTTATGATATCAACTAATGTTAATATTTATTTTAAAATAAAATAGTACATATTTAATTTAAGTATAATCTACCAATATCATCTCTCTGTAAATAGTTTTAGATAATAATGTTTACATAAAATTCAGATACTACTTTGATGAAAATGGCTCACAAGATAGTTTAATTAAAGTAAGAAAAAAAATTCTTGAAAAGCAGCACTATTCATAAAGTTAATCAACACTATTAATGATGAAAATTAACTGCAAAATGATCAACTAACACTTAAAAATTAAGTAACAGAACAATAGGCAATTTTTATTTCTTTAACTGGAGATAGGCAACTTATATGCATTCCTTTTCTTACTAAACCAGTTTTCTTCTTCTTGTTCTTTCTCTTTTGCTAAATAAGTGAGTCTTTATGCAAGACATTCTTCTTGTTTATGTTTGTTAAACAAAAGTCATTTCAGATCAATCATTATCTTTTCTTTAGCTACTGTAATAATAAATTTATTTTTTGTGATGAAAATGTTTTCAAATTGTAAGATTTTCAATTTTTAACTAATTTTCTACATTTTTGTTTAAATTAATTATTGTTACATGTAAATTATGTAAAGTTAAAAAAAGTTTTGATTTTGCATGAAGTAAATAATTAACACATTTTTGCTACATTCATCTTATCTTCAATTCAACAAAATATTATAATTAATAATTTCAAATGTTTAGAGTATTAAAAATTTATTCAAATAAATAAATTTATTATCTATAATTTTTAAAAATTGATTTTAATTATTTATAATTGTAGAAAAATTTACATTTTCCATGTTACTTTTCTGTTTAGTTTGTGATGAAAGGATAATATTGAAAAAGCTTGACAAATAAGGCTTTACATTTAAAATTATATATCTTATTATTTTAATGTAATATGCATCTATAAATCACTCTTCTGTGCCTCTATATGTTGTCTATCAAAATTGAAATTATCTTCCATTTTCCAGAAACCAAAGGAGTGAAAAGAGTTATCCTGTTAGTTACCACTGATTTAGTCAGTTTAAAAAAATTGCAAAATTATTAATAAATTACTTTACTTTTACAGAAATTAAACAAACTGTGATAAAATTTATATTTCTGTATTAAGCCAGATTTAAGTTCTTATGTGTAACATCTTTCAACAGTTCTATACAGCAAAATGATATTAATATAAACAACTTTACTAAACCCAATACATTGCAATAACGCATTTTTTTGTAATTTATTATTATTATTGCCAAATTATAGCCCGATGATTTATTGCAGTTGATGGTGGGTTATTAAAATGATATCAGTTTAGACATTGTACTGATGTTTCATAAGGCATCGTGTTCATAGCTGAAAAAGATTTAACTTTTGTAATGTCGTTACATGCTTAGGTTTGCATCTAATCAATCCTGTTCTAGAATTATATCACATGATGCTATACAGACATCTTTGTTTTCAAGATACTTCAAAATATTGTCACTATATGATAGAACATAACTGTTTAGTATTGCATGTGATGTACTATATTGATAAATGCAATAAACACAAGATAATACATGCAAGAATTTAAATCTGACTTCTTGCTAAAAGTTCCATCTATAAATTGTTTTTCTGCTGGTTGCAAGATATCATCTATTTTAATTATTGAACCAACTTTATGAATGATCAAACTTATGAAATGTCTGATTTAAATTTTTATTGAAAAAATACTGTTTTTGACAAATCAGTCTAAAAAGTGATTAGGTTTAAATTAATTAATTTTACTGCAAGAAAAATTTGACATAAATGTTGTTTTTATTGCATAGGCAGTTAAAGCAGTTATAAGCAGTCCTTGACTTTTAGACAACTTGCTCTTTTGTACATAATACTTTTATCTCTATTACTTTTTGTGTGGCAGATTTAAATCTTCATACATTTTCATCTAGTTTATAAAAATTTTGAGCTATTATGCAATAGTTTTTTTTGTCACTTTGTTTCAGTAACAGCAAAATTATTTTTAAAAATTAATTTTTTATTGCCTGTTTTCTGTTAATCTATGGTGTTTGTTTTAATGTTTTTTATGCATTGTAAAATATTTCCTGTAAAAAAAGTAAAACCTTTCTATCTTAATCAGAGAATTTTGTAATTTTTTCTTTTAGTTATGTAGGAATGGAACTCCCTTTATTAAATACAACTGTATACACATTTTTAGGAATTTGTTAAATCCGAAAGTCAGGGACTTCGTGTATAGAGAAATGCAAAGATTATGGAATCTTTTTTAAATAAAACAAAATCTCGTTCATCAATGTATTAATTTACTTTTACAAAATATTAAACAAAAACCACAGAATTATATTTTTATACTTTACTAAAAAGTAGAGCAACATTTAATCCACTTTTGCCCTTTTTTAACCTATGAGTAGAATTTTACTCTAATGAGTTTGTTTGTTTGTTTGGCATTTCATAGAAATTTCAAGATAAACAATTCATATATAGTGTTGTAATTAGCCAATAACATTTCCTGTTTTCACTTGGCATTCTTATATGGATTACATATTATGTGCCATTATCTAGCCATAACAAAAAAATAAAAGATTTTGAATTGTCGTGTAAATACAAAAATGAAATGCATTGTAAAATATAAAGTTTTGCATTAATTATTGTTTCATCCTTTAATTCACAGTTGTGAGTATGTCATAATAAGAATTAGTAAGTAAATGTGAGGAAATTCTGTATTAGTGTTACAAATACAAATTTATTGATTTGTCTGTAACATTACTAAATTGTAAATATCTTTATATGTTTATTTAATAATTCAAAATGTGTTTAGTTAATTTATGTGTATAAAAACTTGACACTTTTCTGTTTTGTTATCCCTAAGCAACACAACAAGATTGTGACTGTTGCACACACCACATGAAACAAAAGTGAATGGCATGTGCAATGCAGGTTTTAGTATTTACAGGAACATGGGGCTTATTTATTTGTTCTCTCCAGTATGGACTCTTGGGAAAAGGATTTTCTTTTGGGGATTTAATGAAAGCTGGTATTTTCAAAAAAAAAAATAATAAAGTGATGAAAGAAAGAAGAAAAGTACCAAAATGGATAACAAAGCAAATGTTAATTAGTAGATAGATGACAAAACAGACTTAATGTCTATTTTGTCATCTTATCTAGTTATCTGCTACATGAAAATAAAAAATTAACAAAATGGATAACAGTAGAAGTCAATTTGACCATTTTGTTTTAACATGTATTTAAATGCTTGACCTTAGGGGAAAATTAATAACATGGATAATAAAACAGATGTCTTGAATAGTGATAAACTACTTGGAAATTACTGTTTACAAACATCAAAAGGAGTATGCAGAAGTACTTCAAAAGAGTACTTAATTGAAATCCTACATACATTGGAAATCATGTGGCATGGTATCATACAAAATAGCATTGTTACGCTCACTGATTAAAAGAATCGTTACATGTTAAATGCTAAATAAAGACTGTGATAATGAATTATTATTTATAAGAAACATAGTGTCTATGCATGGATTTCAGGAAAAGCTGGTCAACTTGATTATCTCCTCAGTAATCTGGACTGCCTCTAATGCCCACCCATTTCAGATGCAGTGGATACAATAATTAAGAATCATGGTTTGCTTTTTGCATAAGTTGTTTTGGTGGTATGCAAAAAAAATACACTACAATTGGTGGTGAAACTTATGCCATCTGTATGCAAATATTAAGATATGATAAGAATGCACATGGAATGAGCAGTTAATTATTGTGACATAGTCACAATACTAGGCTGCAATTTTTAATTTATTTAATTTAAAATATATGCTCGTCACCTCAAATTAGTACTGTAGTGTCTTGCACCTGTACATCATACTTTTCCATTAGCAATGGAGTAGTGTCAGTCATCTATTAACTACTTTCAAGGGAAAAGTTTAAATTGAAATAATGTGACTTCTGGTTTGTGTTGGAAGTTCATATATAGTTAATCAGGGCCTCCTGCCCCAAAGGAGGCCCTGATTAACTATATAATCATTTAACCAACTCCATTCTCATGATTAAGGAAAAACAGATGACAGTGGGAATTTATAGGTCTACAGTTTTTTCAAATTGCAGTTCAATAAAGACAAAGCAGGGATATATATGATCAAACTACTTACAGCAAAAACTTTTTACTATATAGGATCTACAATAAGAAACTTCTCCAAAAGAATGAACAAACTTTATACATAGATTAATAAAGCTGATACCTCACCTAGTATAAACTTTAGCTTAGTGGGCCTATGATCAGTATTAAAATCCTGTTGAATCATTTTATCTTTATTTTTATATTTTATTTGTGTGTAAATCTTTTTTATTTAAGGAATATTTTTGTAATTATTTGAATTTTTGTATACATCTTACTAATATTAGTAAGATGTATACAAAAATTCAAATATTTATATGAGTGTATAAATATCTTCTAGTTATGTATATTGCACATATTAACATGTACAAAAAACAATTTAATATGATATATAAAAAAATTACAAATAAAGTCAATTAAATATTTACTAACTTCTGTTATCAGTGGATGATTCATTTATATTATATGTATTTACCAAGCAGTTGACATCTGGAGATAGTTTAGACTTTTTCTATTTCTCTATGTAATTTTATTGATTAAATTTCTGATAAAATCAAGAAGAGTAATTTACTCCATGTATATTTAAGTTTTTCATTTTGTCATTTGTCTTCCACTTTGGTTTGTCTAAATTATCTAATTGGTGTGCATAAAAAATTAATTCACCTATTTTCTTTGTTCTTTAATTTAATAAAAATTTATTATTAATTTTTTTGTGTTTCTATTAGCAAAACCTACTATTTTTTAATGGAAAAAAACTAATATCAATAATTATATATTAGCTAGCAAAGACTTTGTATTTGTTATTGAAATCTGCTTAGAAATTTTAATATGAATAATAATTCTTTTTCATACAAAATGTAGCATTTTATATGAAAGAAAAAATGGATTATATCAAAATTTCTAAATAGATGTCAGAAAGATGATATATTGTATGAAACAGAGATTTAGAATTGGATAAAAGAGAAATTGATGTAAAGTGATACGTGGGGCACCTTGATACATTAACTATGAAGCTTTCAAATGTAACTGTACAATATTTCCAACATTCATTAATAAATGTTGTTAACAGTAGATAGTCTTGCCATGAAAAGTTAGAATTCAGTATTCTATCAGTACTTAAAGAATAATGTGTATGTATTTCATTGATGGTTAAAAAATAACACATTGAATACATATTGATTATAATTTTAACACTTTTTTATGAAAATTGTTCTAGGTGGATACATATATTGCTGATTATTATTTTTTCAAGAAAAAATAAACTTTATGTATTTGATAATAACAATGTTTATTGAACAATCAGTCATAGGGCATATTGATGCAGACTGCAATAGTTTTTTGATACATACATGCTCTATTTTGATTTATTTTTATTTATGTGAAATATTGATAGAATAATATATTGGAAAAATTATTTCACTATGTAACCCATCTGAATATAAAGTTTGTTATTTGAAAAAGAAACAGAATTTGGAAATTAATATTTCCTTTAAAAAAAAAAAAGAAAAAGAAAATGAAAAAAATCTGTGCACATTCCTGATATTGTACTGTATAGCAGCTTTGTATTTTTGGGGTATTGTAAAGAACAACTACACATTTCTAAATGATTTATCTTTTTACAACGTTCAGTAATTTTTAATGAATCAATCTAATCCAATTTTTTTGAAATTCAAATTTTGAAAAAAAAAAATTTGAATTTTAGAAAAATGTGCAAGTTAACAGTAAATTTAAAATATTAATGCCTATAACATGATGTTATTAATGTATTAAAATTATAAAAATAAAATTTTGGATGAATAAAATAGTTATTTAAAAAAAATGTGTCATTTTGCTCTAATTCTACTTACAACTCTCAAATAATAAATTTGATATTTTTATAATCTTATTATATATGTTTATGTATATCTCAAAATTATATCTTATAATTATGAGATACACATAATTACATGATCATGTAATTATGATATATAATTATTGTTGATGATTTTTATAATTCAGAAGAATAGAAAGATTCTATGTAGTTTTTGTAGATGAATTTTTTGCATAGAATATTTTGTTTATTTTGAAGATACAGAATAAATCTATTGATTAAAAAGAAAAAAGAAAATAAATTAACATATTTACTCAAATTTCACTTGCACTTTTTTTTTCCTGAATTTTGTTTACAAAATTCAATGCATAGTAGAATTAATGATGGGATTAGATTCAAGTGTAAGCTAGAAAACTTCACGTACATATCTAAACGAGTGATCACATATCTTATTGATATGTTAGCACTCCTTCCGTGTCTTCCATTTCTCTTCCTTTATAGTAGTGGGTCATCATTTGGTTTTTTCAAACTCTTTATTCGGATTGTTTTGTTGTTTCCATGCCTTCATATGCCTTCAATGTTTAAAACATTGAAACCAAAGGAAACTGTTTGTTGATGTTTTTAATTGCATGCATTACCTTCAAGTAAATATGGTATATGGCAACGGTGGGCAACCCCCGGCCCGCGGGCCAGTTGCGGCCCGCGAAGAGTTTCTATCCGGCCCACGAGATGTTTAGAAGAAATTATAAATAAATATTTTTCGATGTAATTCGTCTAGTTTAAATTGAATATTATTTTCTGAAGTGTTGCGGCAGCAATGACAGGAAAAAATAAGGGAGTCATTTCTTTATTCAAACAAAAAATGGGAGAACAGAATTTTTCTAAATTATATCTCATCGCATCATCCATCAAGAAAATCTATGTGCAAAAGCTATGCAATTAGAAAATGTAATGTCTGTCGTATCCAACTACATAGTGCTGTTTTTATTGTGTTTAAGTCACTTAAATTTTACAAATAGGTGAGCTGTTCACAGCCCGGCACACGCATTTGTAAAATCTAAGTGACTCATACAACATGGAATTCATATAAAACGGAATAATCAACAGTGTTATAGGGGGGTCGACTGTAGTAATTAATTTATTTTTATTTATTTATTTATTTATTTCATATTTGCAGACTAAAAATTTACAGGTCACAAGGTGCCAATTAACTACTATGGCCCGCGGAAAAAACGTAAAATTTATTCTGGCCCATGTTATAAAAAAGGTTGCCCACCCTTGGTATATGGTATACATAATATTATAGTGTGTAGGAAGAATGATTTAAATCTGCTTACATTGTTATAAAGTTTGATTTCTATAAATATAAAGTAACTGTTTCAGTCTCTGATAAGAGGCAATAAATGTTTGTTGTAATTATTTTCAGCGTAATGTTGAATTGCTAAAACTTTGAGAATTGGCAAAAAAAAAAAAAAAAAATAAGAAGTAAAGTAAATTGGTTATGTACAGTACAGTAGTTACAACTGATGTTGACATAATTAATAATGGCAAGGAACTTTGGTGATGATATTAATAAAGAGCTAGTCAAATGGGTTAATAAGCATAAGATGTTAAGAGAAGAATAGCCAGGACAATGCTAGAAATGCAGATTTTAGTGTAGAAGTACAGAAATTGTGTGAGATGAGATAATTCTCTCCACGTGAATATAAACCTTCTAAATCCCCAGTGTTACTCTTTTTGGCAAATGTTTTCGACCCTACCAGGGTCTTCTTCAGGCTACCGTTTTAATAAATTCAAACAGTGCAAAATCGAACAGGAATGGATTAAATGTGATTCAAATTGTAGAATGTCAACGTTCATATCAAAAATATAGAACACCACGTTCTTTCCTCGATGATGTTAAAGCTTGCGTAAATTGCGCTTGTAATAAACGACACTACACTCAATTATGTGTGGAGTGTTTCTTCATAGCAAAATTTCCATGCTTTGGAGATATTAACTGCATCTTTGGAGTTAATACATATGTTGTTTAATCCTGCTTTATAAATCTGGAAATCAGGATCTGCCACAGAACCTGGAATAAAGGTGGATCTACAGAATGCCCCTATGGTAAGACTATCACAATGTATGGACCAACTAAGAATTATGGAGACCTTAGAGATTTATAAAGCAGGATTAAACAACATATGTATTAACTCCAAAGATGCAGTTAATATCTCCAAAGCATGGAAATTTTGCTATGAAGAAACACTCCACACATAATTGAGTGTAGTGTCGTTTATTACAAGCGCAATTTACACAAGCTTTAACGTCATCGAGGAAAGAACGTGGTGTTCTATATTTTTGATATGAACGTTGACATTCTACAATTTGAATCACATTTAATCCATTCCTGTTCGATTTTGCACTGTTTGAATTTATTAAAACGATAGCCTGAAGAAGACCCTGGTAGGGTCAAAAACATTTGCCAAAAAGAGTAACACTGGGGATTTAGAAGGTTTATATTCACATGGAGAGAATTATATTACCTCCAGTGGTAGATAGGAAGTTCGTTTGAGATGAGATAAAGAGAACCTGTCATTTTTAGAGTCATATAATATGAATGTTTGAAAGCATTGGCTTTTTAGATTTTTAAATTTTTCTCTCTAAAAAAAGTACTTGATTATCACTAATCTACAATATCTTTCATGCGTTTCCAGCAGTTTTCCATTTTGGGATCTTGCAACATTGGGTGACTGATGGAAACATATGAAAGATACTGTAAATTAGTGATATAATAATTCTAGCTTTACATATAGTCTGTGTTTAGTACTTGGATAGTTTTTCTTGTCAATAGAATTGGAATATGTTTTTAAATAATATATATCTTTTTTATATTTCTTAGATATTACATATTTTGTGTATATTAAATATTGAATAAACAAAATCATTATTTTTTTTCTGTAACTTTGTTTTAATTAGTTAGTTATTTGATAAATTTAAGAATTTATGATAATATTTTCTTGCAAAATGGAATGATGACGAATAAATAATTTTAAATTTTTATTGTTAAATTCAAAAACATTTTTTTTCTTTTAGTCTGATTGGTTCAATGCCTGCATTTATGATCTAGTACATCCAGAAGATGTTGAAAAGGTTAGGGAACAATTATCAACGCAAGAATCCCCAAATTCTGGTCGTATATTAGATTTAAAAAGTAAGTAGTAGTATTTATATTTTAATATAAAGTAATTTATTTAAAATTAAAAAAATAATAATAGTACTATTCTAAAGTGCACAATTTATTTAAATAAGAAAAACTTGTGTATAATATTTATTTTATAAATATATAAAGTATTTTAAATCAAATTTATTTAACTTCTTTGGAATATACATATATTATGAAAAATAGAATTTGTTCTTAAATTATATAACTTCTAACATAAAATAAGTTAATTACATACATATAGTTTACTTTAATATTTAATTTTTAATTAAATATATACAATGTGAGAAATGTCTTTTCTTTTCTAAATTTTTGCATTTATTCAATCCAGATTTTCAAATTTATATTTAATATTGATGGGTATCTAATTTGAATGATTTTCATTTTTACGATATATGTATTACTCTTCCTCTTTACATATAAATTTAATTTTGATTGTTTCATTACATTTGTATTCACAATAACTTGCCTTTTCATTAATTAATAACATTTAGAATATTCTAAATTATAACTAGTGCATTTTTACTAGTTTTTTATCAGAAACTAATAGGAATTCTTTATCATATTTAATAATTATAATTCCAATATTTTCCATTAAAAAATATAATAGAATTTTTAATATTTATGTAAGTTTATTTTATTTACAAGATTATAAGAAACTTCTTTTATTTAATCTTTGTTAGTTTTTCTATAATGTATCATATTTGTTGGCCAAAAATTTGGCCAACAAAAACTCAACTTTAAAAACTAAAAATTATTAAATTTAAAATGATTTTTGCAAAATGAACTTGCATAGAACTTCAAAAATTTATTATATAAAAATGTTTCAAAAATATCTTTCATTTTTAACTGAAAATCAAAGATTAATTTATTTTAAAAATCATTATTTAACAAATTTAAATCAATAATTTATCATTTATTATCTGCATAAAATAATTTATTTAATTATAATAAACATTAAAATATTTTGAATTAGATGTTTGTAGTATATTAACATTAATGAATATTTGATACTTCATTAATGTTAATAAGTCTCTTCTTAGCAAAGTGGTGAAAAAATATTGATATATTTATGTTTACAAAAAATACATTTAATTTAGAAATTCTCATGCAACTTCTTAAATATTGCAGTAGCAAAAAACTGATGATAAAGTTCATTTAATTACATAATATTACAAAAATTGTATTGATGTTATTTAATTGCCAAAATTGACTTATAATCATGTTTTTAAAACAGTTGGACAAAAACATTGAATAAATTTTTTTTACTTTTAATCTCAGAACTGTTATTTTAATGAAACTAACTCAGTTCTGATATTATATATTTATATTTTATTATTTAATGTGAAAACAACTCTGAATTCTTTAAAAATATAACAAAATAATAAACTGTTCTCAAAATTTAATGGGCCAATTTTTATAAAACTTTGCCATTTTTCATTAATTGCAATGAGGAATCCAAAAATATAATGAGGGTTCATGACTTTTTTCAATATATGGAGATATTAAAGTGACAATGTTTGTTCTCTCTGATGGGACTGAGCACACTTAACTGAATTTGTGTGTGAAAAACAAACAAAACACAAAAAACAAAGCAATTGATGGCCATTGCTTGGTTCTTGGATCACCTCTCTTTGTTGGCATGTGCAGAGATCATCTCTTCCTTGGCCAGCAGGTACAATGATAGCCTTTTCTTTTCCTAACAAGTGCAGGGATCACTTCTATCTTTACTGCTCCTCTTCAATTCTGTCGTCATGCGACAAAGTTGTGTGATGCCCTTGTACAACTTTTAAGTTATGGAATCAATCAAATTTTTCATTTTTGTTTATGTAATGTTTTTCCTAATAATGTTTATGCATTCCCAGATTTATTGTATTTGTTTTGAAATTTGCAAAACTTATCATCATGTTGAAATCAAAAATTAAACAGACTGCTTATTTAAAGAGGTCAAAAAAAATTAATGAGAAATTCATTCAGCCGTTACTTTAACTATCTTCAGCTTACATTGAATAGTATGGGATAAGAAATTCAAATAAACATTAATAACTATAGAAATAGAAATGTTGATGTTATAACAAGTAGAATTAAACAAGAATATTTTAAAACAGTATTATACAAACTGAGTTTAAATTTGCATAAAATTTATAATTGAATTAAATAAGTAATTACAGGAAATGTTAAAATAATTAAACTACTTAGGCTGTTTTTTTTCAAGCTCTGGTGGTCCATAAAAAAAGACAAGTGTAAATAACAGAATGAATTTATTACCAAAAGTTAGATACAAACATGGTTACTTTTCGACATAATCACTGTGAAGATTGAGGCATTTATCATATCTGTGGACGAGATTTTTTATCCCCTTGTCATAGAATATTGCCACCAATAACTTGGGCCCTAACGTTTTTTTGAAAATCATCAGTAGTCTCAATCCTCTGCCCTCCTAGCCACTTTTCCTGTTCAGGAAAGAGGTGTAAGTCGTTCGGTGCTAAATCGGGGCTATATGCTGGATGTTTAAAGGTGTGAAGACTTCCACTTCTTTCCTGAATTGAAAATATGTCTAGCAGGGCAGATGTTTGAGACTAATGAACTAATGACAATCTTCAAAATGTTAAGGCCCATCTCAAGTCACTGGTGGCAACATTCTATGAAGAAGGGATTTCAAAGCTCATTCACAGATATGACAAATGCCTCAATCTTTACAGTGATTATGTCGAAAAGTAACCATGTTTGTACCTAACTTTTGGTAATAAATTCATTTTGTTATTTACACTTTTCTTTGTTTTATGAATCATTGGAGCTTGAAAAAAAAACAGCCCTCATACTAGTACTATAGGGTTATGAAAATTTGGAAATCAACTTCAAGAGAAGAGTAATTTAAAAATCTTAAAATCTATGCTCAGATGTTAAATATTGTAGTCATCATGTTTATTTATAATGCTAAAATGTCTGTTTAAGATGTAAATATATAATATTTTAAAAGCATAATGGGAAATTAATTCTATAACTGCTCAGTTAGAACAAGTTTATTTTTCATTGTATTCTTAATAATGCTATGTATTAATCTTAAGGTAAAGTAGAGCGTCGATTATCCAAATGCCAATCAACCAAAACGTCAGTTAACCAAAAGCGTTCCATTTGGACTGTCATGCTGAATTGAACGTTTTTGATACTAGATTAACTTATAAAGTATAAATTTTTTGTTTTTATATTTTTCAATATATTTATTTTGTTTGTACAAAATAAAGAAATAATTTTTAACGATACAGTAGCCACGATTATTATTATAAAAAATTTTGTTAGGATTAACATCGACAAAAATTCAATGCAAAGCGACATGCAACAGATAAAAATTTAAACATGGGATATACTAATATACTATATTAATAATGTATTTTTTGTACATAATCGGTTATCCGAAAAATCAATTTTCCAAACAACCCCAGTCCCCAATTGATTTGGATAATCGGCACTCTACTGTATATTCATATAAAAATATGCTTGGACAATAAAGATAATTCTTAGATATATGGTTCTGGAACTCTTCTTGTTATAGAGTTCTGTAGGTGGATCCAACATTATAAAAATTAGAATTATCTTTGACCAGTTTAATGAGGTAAACTCCCATTTTATAGCTATCTTGTAATGTATCTTTATTCAACATGAAAATTTACAGTTATGCAAAGTTGTATAAAAACTTGTATAAATATTTAGATTGTATCTGCATCGAAAAATTGTCAATTTAAAACATTGTTTCATTGATTGTAGCACCATCTATAATGAAACTAATAGTCCCATCTTGTCTCTTCCTTAAAATCTAATTTTTTGGTTCAATGAGTATTTTGTAGAATGCATATTTTTCAAATTATTTCACTGGATAAATTAAACTGGTCCACTATATATATACATACACAATGTTTAAAAATTGTGTAGCTAAAGTTGGAAGATGTATTCTACACACAAAAACAAAAAAAAAAATGTCTAGTCAACATGGATTCAAAATCACTCATACACGAGAAAAAGTCTTAAAATTTTATCAAGGGTCCATTTAAAAAGCAGAAACTAGATGTTTGAAATGGTCACCATTACTATTCAAAAAGCTATTGATATGTCATAGCAGCATCATGTGTAAAAAATGCCAGGAGTGTTTTTGATGATATCACACACATCTTCAATCTGTACTCATAGTTCCTAGATGTTTGCCACTATATCAGTGTATATCAGATTTCAAATGCCTCACATGACTTTTTTCTATAATTGATGCAGTTGCAATAACTTAAGCATCAGTCTTGATAAAGACAATATTTTTTTCATGAAAGCAGGAAAAATTGGAGCCTGGCATTGTGACAATGTCACAATAAATAATTGCTCATTAGAATTAGTTTGCAAATATAATCCTTCATCAAACCCTTTAACCAGTATTAAACAAGACTAAAATTACATGCAAACATTTTCGGATCCATCTCTGGGTCCTTACTCAAGCAACTATTCTTCTTTAAAATTCGTTAGAGCGAAGAACAGTAGAAAGAACTTCAAAACTGCGATATTTGAAAAAATTACTTCTTCCGAACCACATTTGAAAAGTCGAAATTCAAATATCAGTGTGAATCACGTGCATTCCAGTATTCCGAAATGTGATGCTCGTTTTTCTTAAAAAGGTTTTTTTATGAATTTTTACGTTAATGAAAAATAACGTAATGCGGGATATAGTTATGGACGCCCCGGATACGCCCAAACTTTTTGCTTTTATTAAGACACATAAACAAGGCCACAAATTGAGACCTATAGTTGATAAGGCCACAGCACCCACGTGCAAATTAGAAGCATTCTTGCACGATTTCATCTCTCCAAAGTTACAAGATTACCGATACTCCATCTCCAATCCGGCGGAGTTAATAGTATTCCTGAAAAACACCGAAAAGCCCGCGTACATCTCGGTCATGGATTTCCGTTCTTTATATCCATCAATTGAATTACCACCATGTTTTTGCGCA